AGGGACCTACATTTTATCAAATTTAACCTAATGATAAAACCAACAGCCCTTCAAGCTCTAACTATTCAAGAGAGTCCTCCGATTCAATAAATATAACAAAGAAAGAACTGTAGTAATTTACAAATGCACTTCAAAACAGAGTAATCTAAAAACCAATTGTTAAAAATGGAAGTACATATTAATTTTTTATTACTGTTTATAGGGAGTTACAATATGTGGTCAAATGGATAGATTGGGATATATAACACACATGTATGTGCATATACATATGGTTGTTGTTAAGTGTCGCTGAGTTGGTTCTGACCCATGGCAACTCTGTATAAAGTTTCTTAGGAGCGGCTGGTGAGCTTAAACCACCTTGAACCACCAACCATACAGTTCAAATCAACTTTGCAGTCCAGTGCATTATCTCACAGTGCCACACCAGGGCTGTATGTATATGTGTGTGTTTGTATATATATATATGACTATTTTATTTAAATACTTATTTTATGGGCTTAAAAATGAAAATAAACCATAACTTACTGAGCAATATAGATTAATTTATCCTATATAAAACTACAGGAATTAAAAATGTATTTATCATAATGTACAAAATAAGCTGATAGAAAAAACTATGAACACTGGACAATAACTTTCTTAGCTTTCAGATACCAAGGGTACTTAAAATATGCATATTTTGACATATATATATATATATATATATAAAACAAGATTCTTTATGTAAAAGACCAACCTATGATAGGTCAGTCATATCATAAATATAATTAATTAATTATGAAATTTTAGAATTTATATTTAATTACTCAAGGATTCTTTCCTATTGTTTAAATAATTAAAATGATGTAATAAAAATAAGCATGAGTTATGTAGTCAAAACCAAGCCAGCATTTGTGATGGAACATATATCCGTCACTTACGCTGAAAACAATGTACTCTTTCTAAATTACAGTTTTTAATTAGAAAAGGAGCATAAAATAGTTTCTACCCAAACTATCTCACATGCTCATTGTGAAAATCAAACACAATAATGTGAATATCCTTAATAGAGGTATTCACTATTAGTATTACTTTGATTCACATATAACCACAATCTCGGAAGATCCTTGGAATTAAAATAAATACTTATTTAGTAAATTACAATAAAGGATTTTCTATAATCACTGGACTCCTATAGTGTTAACTGGTGAGTTGTATAACTTTGTTTTAGCTTAAAAACAAACAAAAAACCCTCAATAAATTTCACATTTCAATTTATAATACTGGTGGAATATGCTACAACTGGTGATCATGTAGTGGTATCATATTGTTATAAATATTTTTAAACTTCATATCTGCTTGTAAAGTTGATGTCAACTTTATTCCATGTGATTCCATCATGATATCTTTATTTTTTTCATAGTAGAGTAGAATCATTTATTACATGCTTTCTAGTGCATATGAGAGCCAGGTGTTTGGCATAGTGCAGAAATGTTTTCTTCTCACTCTTTTCTGATGGCATTACTTTCCTTTGAACTATACATCAATGCTTGTGTGTCTACTTGCCAAGAAAAAGGCACCTCAACCTTAAAAGAAATGTGTTTTATCAGTGTAAAACAAAGAGAAGGAAAGACCAATTTCAAAATGGTGATCCAGTACTCTGCTGATCAAATGTAAGAAAAATACACACTTCAATTTTTCAGATGTACAATTACTGACAATTCCATTCAAGAGGAAAGACAAAATAGAATCTCTCTTCAGTACTATATAAAATATCCTGTACTCATACTGTGTTTTACAAGTCAAAGACGTTGCTAGCACAGTAGAAAATAATATTTGTTGATAATGATTTTGGCACCAACTTTAGTAGGAAAGTGAAATGTAATGTGCTCAGGAAGTGAGGATATGAAAAGAGGAGATTGACAGAGATATGCCTTTGAAGCCTTATTTTAATAAATTAAACATAACTAGGAGCTTGATCATGGAAAATGACTGTTAAATCAACAAAGCTATACAGTTCCTTTGATCTAGGATCTTCCTGAAGATTCCTGACCCTGAGGGGGTATGAAATACCTGGAGTATAATCCACCTGGAATATCTTCATGTGATATTGGCTAAATGGTGTCTTGGAACACCTGTTCCTGGAGCTCCTCCAACGGAGACTTCTCTCTATAACAGAAAAGCTTTGTGAAACAGTTTCCAGGAACCAGGTCTCCGAAGTGAAGATTTTCTTAGGAGACATACTTTCATTTGCCCTAGAAATCAAACAAGTCTTTGGTGCCTCCCTCCAGAGAACTCATAGCAATCAAAACCACAATGAAGCACCTTCCTAATTAGTCCATTGTGTCTTATTCTCAATGAAGAGTTGGGACTTAGGATTCACATGAGATGTTATCTGAAAAGAGCAAAATATTTCACTTTACTTCCAAGGATATTCAGTAAATTGGAATTATCTTATAACGATAGCAGAAAGCCTAATTATCTCATAAACTTTTCACCATGGCTGAACTTGTCTTTAGTAATTACAGATGAATCTTTCAAAGCCCATGAAATAGATGGATACAGAAATTATTTATTTGGGTATTTGGATGCTGAACATACGTTCTAAAACATATATACAACATTTGGTTACTTATCATTGACTTGTGTCCTGCTTCTTTTTCATTGATGTTTCCTCTCTTGAACCTATTGCTTTACAATGTTTCGGATTCAGACAGTATAACTGAATGCCTGGGTTAGTGACTATAGTAGGTGTGGCCACATAACTGGAATACTGGGAACTGCATTAGAACTATGCGATTATTTATTTGATGATACTAACAGCCTGGGAAACCCTATAAAGTGTCGCTATGAGTCCTAACTGACTCCACGGCACACAGCCACCACCACCTACAACATATATGAAATCCAGGTGTGGCACTATAGGGTAAGCACTGAACTGCTAAGCATAAGGTTGGTGGTCCTAACCCATTAGTTGCTCCTTGAAAACCCTATACAGGATTGATCTGAGTTGGAACTGACTCAACAGTACTTCAACAACAACAACAACAATCATATACGTACTTTCTTGAATTTTAGCAATAGAAGTCTTTAGTTTTGCTACTTTTAAAAACGATTGTAAGTGTTCACATCAGAATGAACAAACCCTACACAAGCTCTACAGTCATTTTCTAAAGCCATTTCACTAAGACGTCATACTACCTTTTCACAATATGTCACTTTGCATCTGTAAAGGCAAATCATCAAAAGATGACTCTAAGTAAACTCAAATTGGAAGTTTAATCTGGCAAATGCAGAGCAGAACCTAACATTTAGTTAAGGATCTTGATTATGATAAATCTTAAAAATATCTCTATCCTAATCCACTGCACACACACATTTCTATAACTTCAAACATAATGCCTATTGCTTTCCAACCAAAACAAGAATATGAAAGAGCAATGTTTAATATCTCATTTATAATAAGCCATGGTCAAGTTACATATCATTAATCAGCCTCAACACCTTCTGATATATTGTTTAAAACTCCACAGATTTAATAGTGTCCAGAAATAATTGGCCAGATTTGTACATGCTTCAACTTTCTACATCTTTTTTATTTGCAGCGAGTGACTGCTTTTACTTGTCAGCATGGAACTCCCCATCAGTTCATTGATGACACTGAAGTATTATGATCAAGTAGACTTAGTAGAGTAGTGGTACAAATATTTGTATGCATTCTGATACATACATTTGATTTTTGATATGGTCTCCATACCATGTTCTATACTATCTAGACAAGAAAAAAAAAATCTTAGGAAGTTGAATTTTAATTTATGAAATGCTTGCTTGTGTGTATTTATATGTATACATACAGGAACATGTAGAAATGTTTGTGTCTCTCTCTCCCTCTCCATCTTTCTCTCTCTATATATATTTGAATATGAAAGTGGCAAATTGTATTCACCAGAACCTTAAGCCACTATTAAAATGTAATATTAGTTCATGAAACTGAGTTTTCATGGTTCAAAACTGTTGTGACTTATGAGGAGAAATGGTTAATTTATGCTTCTCCCATGGGGTTAACAACAAGCTCACATTTAACAAATCAAAAGAGGTTTTTCCACTGACTAAAACTATTATCTTTTTGTACTGAGAAATGAGCTCTTCTAGAAATCAGATTCTTGACGTATTCAAATCCAATGGAGAAATGTAAGAAAAATATTTTAGCATTTCTTAGAGGCAATGCTTCTCTGTTTTTCAGAAAACTTCCAATTCTTTTGATAAAAGAAATGTCTTTTATGACACAATTTGTTTTGAAGTTATATTTTTCAATCCAATACTAACAGAAAACTGTAAATAAATGCAAAATAATATTTAGCTTGTTGCTTAAAACACCCTCTTCTCTGTGCATCATTAAAAAAAAATGCATATCTCATTCACAATGCTGGACATCTCAAGTCAGAAACATGGTTGTCAAATATGGAAACAAATGACAGGTTAATTCATTATTTCATTTGAAGTCTTTTTTGTCCTCCTTTACATGACAGTAGGTAAAGCTTTGGCAATTTACAGACAAAATCTATGTTACCAACTGGTGTACCAGTAGTTACACAGAGTTTCCACACTCTAAGATAGCATGTGGTTAAAGCTGTCCCCAAAACAATATTTTGGCTAATAGCATCTATTGGTTAGAACATTCAAGAAAATGTAAAATTAAACTCTATGTATGTAATTTGACTTTCTTGATATTTTTTTACTAAACTAATCCAATATGCACACATACATATCTCAACAAATTATACAACAACTGATTTGAACACCAAGTTGACTGAAATAAAATCTAAAGTCTAACAGATACTTTGAAAGAATTCTTTAAGACAAAGGTTAAAGACACAAAAAAGGCTACTTTTTTTCAGTAATGACCAGGCTGACTTACTTATGTGAAAATCACTAATGTCATGAATATTAGCATCAGACAATCATGTGAAAAAACTGACTCAATCCACCATTTGATACTTTGTTAACATTTTAAAGATTACCATTCTCTTCTTCTTCCTCTTCTTCCTCCTCCTCCTCTTCCTCTTCATCTTCTTCATCCTCCACATCATCTCCATCATCATCATCATCATCATCATCATCATCATCTTCAATCTCCTCCTCTTCATCTCGGTCTACCTCCTCATCCTCTTCATCCTCATCTCCTTGCTCCTCATTATCCTCAGAGTACTCTTCATCCTCATCTTCCTCCTTTTCATCCATATCTTCTGTCCCATCACTTTCATAACACTCATCTACCGAGGAGCTGTCCGCTTTAACAGCAAATGGTTTTCGTTTAGGAGCTGGTTCTTGGGGCTGTTTATCTTGTGTTTTTCTTTTTTTAGCCAGTGGGCAACCATATACACTGTTAAGACAAGAAAAATGTATATTACTTTCTTTAAGAAAAAATGTATATTACTATCTTTGAAGGTCAGAGAAATTGGAAGCCTTGACCAAGATATTTAAGGTTTAGTATGAGTAGCATTAGTACATTTGCTGTAAGGGTCTAAAAAACATAAATTCTCATATATATTCCAAAATCAATTAATGAAATGATTTCACAAAGACAACTTACATTTGTTTTGTTACCATGAACATTTAGTTAATTAAGTCTCCTGTCCCCTCATTTTTGGAACTTCAAATGATAACATGAAGATACTAGTAAAATCCATAAATATGGTTTATGAAGCATTTAAATAATATGTACATGCACTTCTCAGTACAAAATCAGTTTTTAAATACTTTCTTAAATATCCTCTACCCTTAAAAACAATAAAACTTAACAAATATTTTAACAGAATTAGTTCAGATGTACAACATTATCATATATGCATTAATGTAGATTATAAAAATAATCATGTTATGAAATAGCTTTGGGTATATTTGGATTTGTATGTTGTTCTTAAGTGACATCAAGCTGATTCTGACTCATAGAGACCTTGTATAGGGTTTCCAAGGAGTGGCTAGTGAGTTAGAATTGCTGACTTTGTGGTTCAAATGACTTTGCGGTCCATGCTACAGTGTCATGCTAGGATTCCATAGAATTTGCATAGCCTATGATAAAATTATGTCTTTATGTAATTTGGTATATAATGACCAAATCAAAGAAGATGGACCATAAATGCTTATAGATGAAAGCAACTGCATAACTTGGATTTATTCAGTCTTGGCTTGTGTCAGTCTCATCTCCAGCATATGGAAAACAACCTCAGTCTTACTGACACTCATCACTAAATTAGCAATGAAACTAATGCGAACTTGGGAAGACCTTTAAGGGAGGGGGCTTACACTCTTTTCTTCAAAAGGGGCAATTTTCCAAAGCTACAACACTAATGACAGTTACAATTTATTCTTTCTGGAAACTCAATAAATCCTATAAGATGTGAGAGGAAAAAAAGTTACAGTGGCAAAAATATTGTGGGCAAATATTCCATTATCTTAAATGCGATGCATGATTTATTTCACTAACTGAACAGTGCTGTAGGGGATGCTTAAAGACTCATTCACTTAGTTTTTCAGCCTGGGTTAGTGAAGCGATCATACAGTCTTGAACTCATTCTGTGCACATTTATTTTGAGAGCATCCTATTTGCCAGATTCTATACTATGTGGACTATTTAGAGGCGAAAGGCACTGCTCCTCAATTCAGGGCATGTTTTGGTTCAATGGGAGGGCTGAGACACATCAATACATACCACTTAGGAACTATTCACAACTCATCATGGAACACCAAATTCCTGGCATGTTATAGGCATTCACTACATATCTGATGAAGTTTGTTAAATATTGTGATAAAAGCATGTATAATGTGGTATGTCATGAAAAATGATGGACAAGTCAATGGTGCTAGGAAATTATGCTTGAAGGAATTCACATACAGTATCTGGAAGGTAAAGAAAATATTTTGATACATTAAAGCAAAAATCAGACACTGTGAGATATGAGTATAAGAAAGGACATGATGGGTTCAGAAAATTAGAAACAAACAAAAATTGGAACTTAAATTATATAAAGGTGGTGATGGGCAGAGAACAGAAGGAAAGAATTGAGAATTAGAGAAGGGTCAGGTCAAGCTTGTGGACTAATGATGACTTTCTGGGTTTGAAAACAAGAAATAGGTAGTTACACTTCAGTTCTTTCAAGGATGCCCTGATGCAGTCAGATTTGCATGTTCAAAAGAGAAGGGCAAGGAGAAATAAGGCAGATTAAAGAAGGTAGGAAACTGAAGGTCTGGTGGGCAAAATGAAGCTAGTGCAATTGTCCTGACTGTGGCTGTGATTAGAGAAAATACATTGAGAAAGAGTCAGATCACTGAGGGGATGACAGATAGATAAGAAATACGAAAAACAAGGAGCAGTGGGTGCACCACCCATCCCACTTGAAAGAAGAACAAAATTAAGATGTGTAGCTTGTGACAAGTGCCAGAGAGAGGGCAATATGATAAATTTCTGAAACATGATGAGTTTGGATTGCTAAGACTGGTGTTACTGATTAAGTGACTTTGAATAGTCTTTCACCTTTGTATCTCAGTACCAACATCTCACACAGTTGCCTTAAGGATGAACATATATACATATTTAAGTTGTCAGTATAGTACCTGGTACATAAGAGATATTCAATTAGTGATACTCTCTGCTGAATAATGATATTTAAAAAAGATAATAAATAATAATGACAATAGACTTATATTCTATTGTTTCTGTTTCTATTATTATTTAAGGATCCAGTTATTCAGCAAATACATTGTTCCTTCTATCTTCGGAAACTTTATATTATACTATTTGTTTCTATTTACAACTCTTCTAAGACACTTTTTACTGTGCACACTAATGAAAGGAAATAGCAAATGTTTTTGTTCCTATAAACTCTTTTTCTTGTTAATGTATATTTCATATTCTAATAAAGATAATATTATTAATTTGGTGTCCAAGAGGATGCAATTAGTGTGTAGTGCCAAGAATTGAGGGACTTTATTTCCATTTTAAATCCACCAATTACTCTGTGGAAGAAAGATGAGGTAGTCTACACCAGTAAAAATTGACAACCTGGGATTCCTAGTGTGGTACTGTAGGATAAGCACTGGACTCCTAACCACAAGGTCGGTTACTTGCACAATGGGCATTTACTCAGAAAAGATCATCAGACCCATCTCTATCAATAAGATTAATCCAGATTGCTTGGAAATGTTTTTTAAAAATTGATTTTATGGTATTCAGTAATGTTACTCAAAATGTACCCCACATCAATTTGGCAATGGCAAACTCCCTTTAGATGGTGCAAACCCAGCACTATGGTGGGGCTTCCTGTTTTATTCTTTCTCCTTTCATTCACACACACTTAGGTACCCAAAATTTCACTATACTTTACTTGCTGTTGCTCAGACCTTGTGATGGTGATATTGCAAAATGTACAGCAAGAGAATGGAGAGATGGTACTTTTTTTTCTTTTTTAAGCTAGAAAGAGGCTATGTTTATTCGATTTTGCAAAATCAGGTATACAACCTAGAGGACACAGGCAGAGACGTACCCTGTGGCTCGCTCACAAAGAATTACATCCTATTCCAAGAACGTCCCACCCCAGTTACACATTAACTGAGTACTATGGGGTTAACAAGGAGCTCTGGTAGCATAATGATTACTAATCGGGCTGCGAACCACAAGGTGAGCAATTCGAAATTACCAGCTGTTCCGTGGGAGAAAGATGAGGCTTTCTGCTCTCGTAAAGATTTACAGCCTTGGAAACCCTGTACAGGGTCGCTGTGAGTCATAACCTACTCTATGGCACATAACAACAACAATGGGGTTAAGAATTTTCCTCCCCGCCTCCCCATCACCTATGGCATTACTTTTTTTTTTTTAAATGTTTTATTGTGAATTATGTGATAGTCTACATGGGAGAACATTAGCTTTACATTCATCCTATCTTATATCATTTCATTGCTATGGTTACGATCCTCTCCATGCATCATTAACCAACCAAAGGGTATACCCTACAAGTCTGCCTATTGGTCGTCAGCAAACAGCCCCTCTCCCTCTCTGGGTCTAAAGTCCAAAGCCGCTCCACCTCTCCATGTCATTGTCTCTGCCTCCAGAGAGATAGTACTTTTAAACAAATGCTTCAATTAGAAATGAGCAGAACTTGACTTCACTGATATGAAAACCGAGTTTCTGAGATACTGGAAGGTGATGTGTTTGGACTATGAAAACATTTGGGATATGGAGTCTAAGCTGTAGAACACTGCAGTGGTGAACGTGCAGGTCCTACAATCAAGATATGTGAGCAGATGGATCATCAGGTATTAGGAGGTCTAGTTCAAAGAGCCCAGGCACTCCTCAGTAACCCTATTTTGTTGTGAAGTAACCCTATAGAGGGTCACTATGAATCAGAACCTACTCGACAACACTTAACAACAACAACAACTCGCTTAATCAGATGTCTTCCCAGTTGCTAAGAGACAGTAAAGCCACTGCAAGGTAGCTACAGATCCTCTCTTGCTTCTCTCTACATGTTGTTTCCATTTTCATGTTGCCTTTTCTCAACTGATGGTATCTGTTGTAGTTCCCAATCCTTTAGACTTTTTTGGGGATGACAAGATGAGTAAGTGAAGAAGGAAAATAAATAGAGAAGAGTGGAAAAAGAAGTTAAGTGAGTAAAAGAGTACGAGTGTAGGTCTGGAAATCAGTGATTCAAGGAGTAAATTATTGAAAGAGACTGAAAAGGGAAATTATTTATCTACTGCTTGGCTAAAACTTGGGCTACAAAGGTGAGTTCCTTTCCAGACCTGAAGGGTGGTCGAGGGCCTTAGTCTGAGCTTCCTCTAGATTCTTTCTGACCAGTAAACCTGGTCTTCTTTTTCTTTTTGAGTTTTGCTCTATATTTTCTCCCACTCTATCTGGGACCCTACAATGTGATCCCTTTCAGAGCAGATGGTAGTAGCAGCTGGCACCATCAAGTTCGTCTGGTTTCAGTTATGGAGACTGATGTTCACATGTTCCATTAGTCCACTGAGTTAAGTGATTCCAGGCCTGTTTAGTTCTTAGCACTCTTCTACGTTCCATACATAGAGAGACCTTAGATGGCTACTCATGAACTTTCATGATCCCAGATGCTATGCACCAAAGTAGAATGTAGAACATTGTTTTTGTGGACTATGTTATGCCAATTGACCATGGTATCCCTTGAGACCATGGTCTTGAGCCCCCAGACCCAACAACTTATTGCTTTAAGATGTTTGACAATATCTAGGAAGTTTTCATATTTTCCCCTGCTGTATGCCACCACATTCATAGTTGTGCTTCCAGGAAAGGTTAATACTCATGCACAAATATTCTCTTTCACACCCATATATTTGTGGGATTACATAAAT